ATACTCACATGGGGGACCCTAGAGGATGTTATGTATTGCAGAAAATCCATTACATTACCAATCCAATGCATATAATAATCAAAATTCCAGAAATTCAGCATAAGAAGAGAATATTAAAAGCTGTTAGAGAATAGAAACAAATGAGCTATGAAGCAAAACTCGTTGGAATCACAGAAGACTTCTCAACACAAACCCACAAATCAAGGAGAGCTTGGAGTGAAGTATTTCCAGCCAGAAGAGAAAACCACCTCCAAGCCAGATTGATTTACCCTGCAAAATTATCTCTCAGTAGCGATGGAAAAATAAGATACTTCCATGATATATAACATCTGAATAAATTCATGACCACTAAACCAGTTATTAAAATGTTCTGAAGGATATTCTAGAACAGGGCAAGGAACACAATTCCAAAAATCTCAATAGAATGAATCCACCAGGTAAGGCAAGCAATTAAACAGAAGGAAAAGTAAGGAAATCAACAGTAGGGAAATAATATGATGACAAGGACAAGTCAATAGATATCAGTTATAAACATCAATGTCAGTGGTCTCATTCACCAATCAAAAGAAACAGATTGGCAGAATGGATCATGAAACAAGAACCAACAATATGCTGCATACAAGAATCGCACTTGACTCAAAACGAAGGTATAGACTGAAAGTCAAAAAATGGAAAACAATATTCCATGCCATGGAAACCTGGAAGAAAAACAGGGAGAGTTAATCCATTTGCAGACAAAGTGGATTTCAAGCCAAGAGTGATAAGAAGAGTCACAGAAGGTCACTATATACTTGTTAAGAGAACAACAGTAATATATGCATACCCATGTTTATGGCAGCACAAGTTATAAGAGTGAAATCTTAGAAGATACTGTATGTCACTCTTGTTTTAGTAGAAAATATATTTCCCAAGGCAATGTAAGCAAGATTTGTATCTTGGCCTCCACAAAGTCACTCTGTGACCCTGAGAAGCAAGATATAATAATCATGAATATGTATGCATCAAATGCCAGCATACACAACTATATAAAACAAACACTAAAGGATAAGAAAAATCAGATAAACACTAATACAATTGTAATGAGTGACTGCAATACTCCATTGTCACAGACAGATCAACTAGACAAAAAAAATCAGCAAAGGAATATCAAAACTCAACTAAAGCTTTGAACAAGTGGATTTAATTGATATCTACACACTGTTCTACCTAACAATAGCAGCATACACATTTTTCTCAGCAGCACACAGGATTTTCTTCAAAATAGACCACATACTACTTCATTGAACATGCTCATATAAATGCAAAGTAACTGAAATTATCCCATGCATATTATCAGATCATAGTGCAATAAAATTGGAAATCAATGATAAAAGAACCACAAAAATGTCATAAACACATGGAAATTAAATAACACCCTCCAAAAACCAATGGGTCACAGATGAAATTAAAAAAGAAATTAGACAGTTTCTGCAATTAAATGATGATGCCACTATAACATACTGGGACTTATGGGACACAGTGAGAGCAGTTCTAGGAAGGAAATTTATAGCAGTGAATTCCCATATCAGAAAAACAGAGCTAACTCAAATTTGTAACCTAATGACACGTATCTCTCACCATGCACTAAATTAATATCAAAATGGATCAAAGATCTAAATATAAAAAAGCACAGTCTGCTGGAAGATATCTAGAAGATATAGGTGCAGTCAAATAATTTATGAATAAAATTCCAATTGCACAGTAAATATTACAGGGCTGGGGATTTAGCACAGTAAATATTACAAAGAATTAACAACTGGGAACACATCTAATTAAACAGCTTTTGCACAGTAAAAGAAACCACCAACAGAGTGAAGAGACAAGCCGTAGAATGAAAACTTTTTACCAGCTCAGACAAAGGACTAACATCTGGATGATATAAAGAACTAAAAAAAAATCAGCTCCAAAATTTAAAGACACAATCCAAAAACGGACATCTGAAATGAATAGACATTCCTCATGTGAAGAAATACAAATGGCAAATAAATATATGAAAAAATGTACATCTCTAGTCATTCAGGAAATTCAAAACAACATTGAGATTCTATCTCACTCTAGAAAGAATGGCTATCATCAAGAAATCAATCAACAACAGATGCTGGTGAGGTTGTGGGTGTAAAAAGGAACACTTCTTCATTGCTGGCTGGAGTGTAAACTGGTGCAAACACAGTGAAATCAGTATGGGGACTCCTCAAAAAACAAGGAC